GCGTAGTGTGTTACTAATGGTTTTCTTTGAGACTGTGGTCCCAGCTCTCTTCAGGTCATTGACAGGTCCTGCCGTGTAGTTCTGGGCTGATCCCTCACCTTCCTCATGATCATTGATGCCCCACGAGGTGAGATCTTGCATGGAGCCCCAGACCGAGGGTGATTGACTGTCATCTTGAACTTCTTCCATTTTCTAATAATTGCGCCAACAGTTGTTGCCTTCTCACCAAGCTGCTTGCCTATTGTCCTGTAGCCCTTCCCAGCCTTGTGCAAGTCTGCAATTTTATCCCTGATGTCCTTACACAGCTCTCTGGTCTTGGCCATTGTGGGGAGGTTGGAGTCTGTTTGATTGAGTGTGTTGACAGGTGTCTTTTATACAGGTAACGAGTTCAAACAGGTGCAGTTAATACAGGTAATGAGTGGAGAACAGGAGGGCTTCTTAAAGAAAAACTAACAGGTCTGTGAGAGACGGAATTCTTACTGGTTGGTAGGTGATCAAATACTTATGTCGTGCAATAAAATGCAAATTAATTACTTAAAAATCATACAATGTGATTTTCTGGATTTTTGTTTTAGATTCCGTCTCTCACAGTTGAAGTGTACCTATGATAAAAATTACAGACCTCTACATGCTTTGTAAGTAGGAAAACCTGCAAAATCGGCAGGTTTTCCTCAACTACCTCAACTAGCCGGTGCCCCCGCACATTGACTCTGCAACGGTACCCCCCTGTATATATAGCCTCCCTACTGTCACTTTATTTTACTGTATATATAGCCTCCCTACTGTCACTTTATTTTACTTCTGCTCTTTTTTTCTCAACACTTTTTTTGTTGTTGTTTTATTCTTACTTTTTTTGTTTAAAATAAATGCACTGTTGGTTAAGGGCTGTAAGTAAGCATTTCACTGTAATGTCTGCACCTGTTGTATTCGGCGCATGTGACCAATAAAATTTGATTTGATTTGAAATACTTGTTCTCCCCACTGTGTATATATATAGTTTTATTTGAAAATCTGCAGGAGTGAGCTAAAAATAGGTTTAATTTAGGAAATCTGTTAAAGTATTCCCACAAATAAAAAAAATTATGTCATCTCAATTTAAACAAGGTATGAAATTATTATTTTCAAAAACAGTCTCTTTTTGGGCTTAGTTGTGATCAGTTTGCAAATTATTATAATTATGTTCCGGCCCCCCGACCAGCCTAACAACAAAAATTGCCCCTTGGTTGAATCTAGTTGCCTACCCCTGGTCTGGTGTTTGTGAGTCTAGTGTTAGGGAACTGCTGCTTGTGCACTGCTGGTTAGGGTTAGGGCACCGCTGGTTAGGGTTAGGGCACTGCTGCTGAGGGTTAGGGTGCCATTTTAGACAACGCCAAAGTGTGGAGGTGGCCTGGGCTAAACCACAGAATAAATTACATTTGTAAATCAGCCTCCCTGGAGAAAGCACTTACCTCCCCTCCACTGATTACAGCTGCTACATTTAAACAAGCCCTCCCAACGAACAGAACACAATCACAGTTTCCTACCGTACCGCCTCGACTGTCGCCTGTCCTGAGATATGTCCCTGTGACAGAGAGAGTTATAATTAAGGAGAAACACTCAGTCCTGAAGACAATTCAAATCAGAAACGCATTTTCAACACAGAGGGAGGTACAGTGAAGGGTAAAAAGTATTTGATCCCCTGCTGAGTTTGTAAGTTTGCCCACTGACAAAGAAATGATCAGTCTGTAATTTTAATGGTAGGTTTATTTGAATTGTGAGAGACAGAATAACAACAACAAAAATCCAGAAAAACGCATATCAAAAATGTTATAAATTGATTTGCATTTTAATGAGGGAAATAAGTATTTGACCCCTTCTCAATCAGAAAGATTTCTGGCTCCCAGGTTTCTTTAATACAGGTAACGAGCTGAGATTAGGAGCACTCCCTTTAAGAGTGTGCTCCTAATCTCAGTTTGTTACCTGTATAAAAGACACCTGTCCACAGAAGCAATCAATCAATCAGTTTCCAAACTCTCCACCATGGCCAAGACCAAAGAGCTCTCCAAGGATGTCAGGGACAAAATTGTAGACCTACACAAGGCTGGAATGGGCTACAAGACCATCGCCTAGCAGCTTGGTGAGAAGGTGACAACAGTTGGTGCGATTATTCGCAAATGGAAGAAACACAAAAGAACTGTCAATCTACCTCGGCCTGGGGCTCCATGCAAGATCTCACCTCGTGGAGTTGCAATGATCATGAGAACGGTGAGGAATCAGCCCAGAACTACACGGGAGGATCTTGTCAATGATCTCAAGGCAGCTGGGACCATAGTCACCAAGAAAACAATAGGTAACACACTACGCCATGAAGGACTGAAATCCTGCAGCGCCCGCAAGGTCCCCCTGCTCAAGAAAGCACATATACAGGCCCGTCTGAAGTTTGCCAATGAACATCTGAATGATTCAGAGGAGAACTGGGTGAAAGTGTTGTGGTCAGATGAGACCAAAATCGAGCTCTTTGGCATCAACTCAACTCGCCGTAGAAAATCTGTGAGGGAGCTGAAGGTTCGAGTTGCCAAACGTCATGCTCGAAACCTTAATGACTTGGAGAAGATCTGCAAAGAGGAGTGGGACAAAATCCCTCCTGAGATGTGTGCAAACCTGGTGGCCAACTACAAGAAACGTCTGACCTCTGTGATTGCCAACAAGGGTTTTGCCACCAAGTACTAAGTCACGTTTTGCAGAGGGGTCAAATACTTATTTCCCTCATTAAAATGCAAATCAATTTATAACATTTTTGACATGTGTTTTTCTGAATTTTTTTGTTGTTATTCTGTCTCACTTTTCAAATAAACCTACTATTAAAATTGTAGACTGATCATGTCTTTGTCAGTGGGCAAACGTACAAAATCAGCAGGGGATCAAATACTTTTTTTCCTCACTGTATTGTCCTGTGTGGGTTGAGACATGGTATACCGTTACATATGTACGTGTGTGTTGTTAGTGGTGTGTGTGGTATGCCATGTCTCAACCCCCAAAGTGTTGTTAGTGTGTGTGTGCGTGTCGTTTTTTTACACCGGGGATATGGCCGATGAGTATTTTCATTTTCTTCTCTTTACAGCAATAACCATTTGCTTTCCAAACTATGTTTTCCCGCAATTTAATTTAGAAATATTGTGATATGCCTGGCTGGTTGGTCTTCTCTATATTTCACTGACAGTCGCAACTCAACAATCATCTATTTGGTATTTGCAGCACCAGCTGCCTTTCCTTCCGGCTAATTAGGCGAGTAGGCTAATTTGGCAATTTAATTCAATTTACTTAGGGAAGGCTTAGCTTCCCCTAGCCTTATAGAAACGCCGCCTATGAGCTTATGGCAATCTACTATCCCCTATAGTAGAAAAGTTGACCTATTCTATTGGTCAGCTTGTCGAGAAAGAAATAGCCCAAACAGACTCTGGGACAGTTGTGGGACGATAGATCCCAAATTCATACAACCAGTAGGCCTAGGCTACATAACAAAACGTTAAAAAGCAATGAATCTGATGCAACAGACCAGAACGTTAAGCTTAAAATGTTTATAAACTATTATTTCGTAACATTATTAACGCAGCAATACGCACAAGGCAGTAGGCTACACGTGAATGTTCATTTGGCTACCAGACAATGGAAAAAAAAGTTGAAAACCAGTAGAACATGAGAGAAATAGGCTACTGGTTTCAGTAATTGCTTCCATATGGTCGAGTTTTTGCTTAGGCTACTTTGAAGAAAGGTAAAATATGCCTCATAATATGTAGTAAAACATTCAGGTTTCAAACAATTAAGTAGCTATATGTTTTCAAAATCCGTACTGCCTCCAGTATTTACATCAATTGGTATTTCCATCAATGAACACGCTAAAAAGCATTATTTCGCAATGGGATTTTAGTTCTTCTCCCGGACAATTGGCCGGTGCCAATTCTATATATTGGCTTTTCAACAAAAAAATAATGCCTATTACCGGCTAAGTGAAACCCTGGTGTGTGTGTGTTGTTAGTATGTGTTGAGGACAGTAGGTCACATAAACAGGAAGCTAGATTAGCCATTATCCCCTGACCCTGTCTCCGTGACAAGAGCCACTTGTGTAGGAGGGTGTGTGTGTGTAGGACTGTGTTTGTGTAGGTGGGAGTGTGTGTGTAGGAGGGTGTGTGTAGGACACTGTGTAGGTGTGCGTAGGTTTGTCTGTATGTAGGCCTACACCTCCACTCTGTATGTAGTTGGAAAGTGAAGCTAACATTTTGAATTTGGCTCTACACTCCAGCATTTTGGATTTGAGTTCAAATGTTTCATATGAGGTGACAGTACAGAATGTCACAGGTTATTTTCATGCATATCCGTTCTCCCATTTAGAAATGAAAGCTCTTTATGTATCTAGTCCCCTCATTTGAAGAAGACGACATTATTTGGACAAATTCACTTACAGTGTAGTGTTTTAAAGTAGTCAAACATTTAGTATTTGGTCCCATATTACTAGCACGCAATGACTACATCAAGCTTGTGACTACACACTCATTGGATAGATTTGTTTTGGTTGTTATATTTTGCCCAATAGAAACAGAATGGTGAATGGTCTACTCTTTCTAAGTGAGCAGATAAGATATTTCTGAACACTTCTAAATTAATCCTGATAATGCCATTTAATAATGAAGATTACAGAGGCTACTACAAGACGATAACCTCTCACCATTACCAATAACAGTGGAGATTAGTGTTTGTTTACACAATACGTTATTCACCATTCACTTCCAAAATCCTGCAGTATAGAGCCAAATTGAATATCTTAGCTTCACTGTCCAAATCCCTTTTGCACCAACCTACTCACACAGTAATGGTTTTGATCCTAAATGTCCTTGTTAAGTTGTCTTATTGATAGATTTCTGCCTGGGAAGTTCAATATATGTTCTACTGCATTGTGCTTGTTTGATCCATAATGACCTGATTGATTGATCAATTGATTTGTTATGATATTGGTTATTGATCAGGTGAGAAGCAGGCTGCCACCCATGTGTCCTTGGACCAGGAGTTTGACCGGGACCTAGCTGCAATGTGGCAGGACCTCGAGGAACAGGTGGTTGCCGCCGCCAACCGTGGGGTCGTCCCGGCAACGTTCTACCCTACCCAGTGCTGCCTCAACAGTCAGACGGACAACCTCCGCTTCCCGCTGGCTGTAGTAGAAGGTAAACACACACAAGGACAGATTTTATTTGGGCTGTAATTTCTGAGGCAGGTAACTCTAATGAACTTATCCTCTGTAGCAGAGGTAACTCTGGGTCTTCCTTTCCTGTGGTGGTCCTCATGAGAGCCAGTTTCATCATAGCGCTTGATAGTGTTTGCGACTGCACGTTCAAAGTTCTTGAAATTTTCCGGGTTGACTGACCTTCATGTCTTAAAGTAATGATGGACTGTCGTTTCTCTTTGCTTATTTGAGCTGTTCTTGCCATAATATGCACTTGGTCTTTTATCAAATAGGGCTATCTTCTGTATACCACCCCCCAACAAATCTGATTGGCTCAAACGCATTAAGGAGGAAATAAATTCTACAAATTATCTTTTAACAAGGCACACCTGTTAATTGAAATGCATTCCAGGTGACTACCTAATGAAGCTGGTTGAGAGAATGCCAAGAGTGTGCAAAGCTGTCATCTAGGCAAAGGGTGGCTATTTGAAGAATCTCAAATATAAAATATATTTTGATTTGTTTAACACCTTTTTGGTTACTACATGATTCCATATGTGTTATTTCCTAGTTTTGATGTCTTCACTATTATTCTACAATGTAGAAAATAGTAAAAATAAAGAAAAACCCTTGAATGAGTAGGTGTGTCCAAACTTTTGACTGGTACTGTATAGCATATCATCACAACAATGAATTGGTTATAACAAACTCTGAACACCGTAACACATGAAAGAAAAATGGATGCAGAGGACGTGACAAATAAACTTGAAACAGGGGAATGTTTACTGGTTGCTCAGCAGGTAAAGGGAAAGTCAATATGTGGAATAAATTTGATTAGTTGTGGAAAATACTGGAGATCAAGAAAAAGAAGGTAAGAAGGCTGCGTGCATATAAGGCCTATGTGTGCAAAACAGGTGCTGTTAGATTACAATATAATTTTTCTGACCGTTTGGAACAATGTAAACAACACAAAATAAATGATAAGCGTACCATTGTCTGTGGGTTTTTTTTGGGGGGGGGGGCTTTATTACAGACTAAAAACAGTTGCATGCATTCGTGAATGCAATTGCCGACATGGAACGGTTTATTTAACAGTTAGGCTATTGATTATAGACCTAATTAAGTTGGTCTCTCCTCACTTTTCTTAGACAATTAAGGCAAGGGCTGTTTTCTTGTCTCCTAACTCCGCCCATTGTTCTGAACACCAATTTGCTGGGTAACTTTGCTGTTATGCACATAGCAACATGGTCTAGGAAAAGGCGCCAATTCAACAGCGCACTGATGTTTCAGAACCGTGGAAAAAGATCGCTATCCAATGCGGGAGAAAGACATTTGTTATAAAATAATATTATTTTGATTAGTGTTGCACCGTTGTTCTTACGTAATATAACCATATACTAATTCAGTAGCACATGTCTTAGAGTGATGGACTGTGCCATCCCCATGGCCTCCACAATGGATTAGTCCACTCAGACAGGTGTCTTGTACACTATGAAAAAAAAAAAAGGAATCTCGTCAACCTGTGTCTATCAAGAATGGTCCACCACCCAAAGGACATCCAGCCAACTTCACACAATTGTGGGAAGCAATGGAGTCAACATAGGCCAGCATCCCTGTAGAACACTTTCGACACTTTTGTATTCCATGCTTCTACAAATTGAGGCTGTTCTGAGGGCAAAAAGGGGTGTAACTTAATATTAGGAAGGTGTTCTTAATGTGTTGTGCACTCGGTGTATATTACATATGGTATTGAAGTCATTATACTTACATACCCGCACATTTCTTTGGTTGTGTTTGTCCTCATCCTGGTGTCTCTCTCTCTTTCCGCTCCTATGTAGAACCCATCATAGTTGAGGTGGCATTCCGGAACCCTCTAAAGGTTCCGCTGGTTCTCTCAGACCTCTCGCTACTTTGGAAATTCACGCTCAAAGACTTCTCTCGACCACAACCGCAGGACGTCATGGTCGGAGACGCTGTCACCATCAGCAACGAGAAGGAGGCCATCACTCCCAGGGTAAGGGCAACTGTGGGTGTGTTACCTTCGCTCTGTCAGGCTACAGTGCAGTAAGAGCAGCTACTTTTCATTCAACTCGTCACGTCTGTCTAGGCTCAGTGACCGTTTAACCTCTCCTTTTTACAACCCTTCTCGTTCCAGACGGCGCAGAAAGATGACATCATCGCCACAGAAGTCATCCCGGAGTTCTACCTGAGCCCCGAGGAGACAAGAGTGGTAAGTGGCTGCTGCCTTCTCTGATTTTCTGCAATTCTTGGTCTCGCTCTCTTACCATCTTTTCTCCCCCTTTCTTTCTCTCCCTCTTTCTTTCTCCGCCTCTCATTTTCTGTGACTTCTCTCTCACTCCATGTCCAACCTTTAATCTCTCTCTTTCTCTCCCCCTCTCTCATCATTATCATGTGATTCCGCTATATGACTCTTCTTTCTGATTGTCTTTTTCCTCCTCTCCTGTCAGGCTCGTCTGAAGCTGCTTCCTCGCCAGACTGGTCAGCTCAACATCCTGGGTCTGGTCTATAACCTGGCCTCCACCCCTTCTACTGGAGACTCTACTATCAACAGCAACGCAAGCCAAGGTAACATATACACATGGTCACGCACACACACACACTCTCCCCAACACACACAGTAAAACCAGTGCTATAAACCTGTTTTGGTCCTTCTCACATGACCATTGGTGTGGTTGCGGACCTCTCTACAGGTCCCTCAGCGACGGAGGGGACATCGGTTCGTGGTCGACAGGACCTAGAGATCCAGGGACCGCGGTTGAACCAGACCAAAGAGGAGAAGACCTCCGTCAGCCACGGTCCTGACCGACGTCTCGACCCCACCATCACCCCTCCCATGCCCTTGCTAGAGGTACTGACTCTCCACTACCCCTTTCCCAGAAATGAGCTTGTGTTTTTTTTATGTCGTTTTGGAACTAAACTATTCATTTAATACATTAAATTATTTTGCTATAATGAATCCAAGGTCTAATGAATGTCATTTGACCCAATATTATGGCCATAGATGAGCAAATTAACCCTGATAAGTATCAAATTACATTTTAAAACGGTTAAATGTAATTGTACAATTATTTCTATGCTCTGAGTCTCATATGGTTTTGCATAAGACAAATTTAAGATATTCTGTTATTTAACATGCTGTTTTATTTTTTGAAATACAGTGGGGGAAAAAAGTATTTTGTCAGCCACCAATTGTGCAAGTTCTCCCACTTAAAAAGATGAGAGAGGCCTGTAATTTTCATCATAGGTACACGTCAACTATGACAGACAAAATGAGAAAAAAAAATGCAGAAAATCACATTGTAGGATTTTTAATGAATTTATTTGCAAATTATGGTGGAAAATAAGTATTTGGTCAATAACAAAAGTTTCTCAATACTTTGTTATATACACTTTGTTGGCAATGACACAGTTCAAACGTTTTCTGTAAGTCTTCACAAGGTTTTCACACACTGTTGCTGGTATTTTGGCCCATTCCTCCATGCATATCTCCTCTAGAGCAGTGATGTTTTGGGGCTGTCGCTGGGCAACACGGACTTTCAACTCCCTCCAAAGATTTTCTATGGGGTTGAGACCTGGAGACTGGCTAGGCCACTCCAGGACCTTGAAATGCTTCTTACGAAGCCACTCCTTCGTTGCCCGGGCGGTGTGTTTGGGATCATTGTCATGCTGAAAGACCCAGCCACGTTTCATCTTCAATGCCCTTGCTGATGGAAGGAGGTTTTCACTCAAAATCTCACGATACATGGCCCCATTCATTCTTTCCTTTACACGGATCAGTCGTCCTGGTCCCTTTGCAGAAAAACTGCCCAAAGCATGATGTTTCCACCCCCATGCTTCACAGTAGTTATGGTGTTCTTTGGATGCAACTCGGCATTCTTTGTCCTCCAAACACGACGAGTTGAGTTTTTACCAAAAAGTTATATTTTGGTTTCATCTGACCATATGACATTCTCCCAATCCTCCTCTGGATCATCCAAATGCACTCTAGCAAACTTCAGACGGGCCTGGACATGTACTGGCTTAAGCGGGGGGACACGTCTGGCACTGCAGGATTTGAGTCCCTGGTGGCGTAGTGTGTTACTGATGGTAGGCTTTGTTACTTTGGTCCCAGCTCTCTGCAGGTCATTCACTAGGTCCCCCCGTGTGGTTCTGGGATTTTTGCTCACCGTTCTTGTGATCATTTTGACCCCACAGGGTGAGATCTTGCGTGGAGCCCCAGATCGAGGGAGATTATCAGCGGTCTTGTATGTCTTCCATTTCCTAATAATTGCTCCCACAGTTGATTTCTTCAAACCAAGCTGCTTACCTATTGCAGATTCAGTCTTCCCAGCCTGGTGCAGGTCTACAATTTTGTTTCTGGTGTCCTTTGACAGCTCTTTGGTCTTGGCCATAGTGGAGTTTGGAGTGTGACTGTTTGAGGTTGTGGACAGGTGTCTTTTATACTGATAACAAGTTCAAACAGGTGCCATTAATACAGGTAACGAGTGGAGGACAGAGGAGCCTCTTAAAGAAGAAGTTACAGGTCTGTGAGAGCCAGAAATCTTGCTTGTTTGTAGGTGACCAAATACTTATTTTCAACCATAATTTGCAAATAAATTCATAAAAAATCCTACAATGTGATTTTCTGGAAAAAAAATTCTCAATTTGTCTGTCATAGTTGACGTGTACCTATGATGAAAATTACAGGCCTTTTCTCATCTTTTTAAGTGGGAGAACTTGCACAATTGGTGGCTGACTAAATACTTTTTTCCCCCACTGTAGATACTCCTGAGTGGCGCAGTGGTCTGTGCTAACTGTGCCACTAGAGATCCTGGTTCGAATCCAGGCTCTGTCGCAGCCGGCCGTGACCGGGAGACTCATGGGCGGCGCACAATTGGCCCAGCGTCGTCCAGGGTAGGGGAGGGAATGGCCGGCAGGGATGTAGCTCAGTTGATAGAGCATGGTGTTTGCAATGCCAGGGTTGTGGGTTCGATTCCCACGGGGGGCCAGTATAAAAAAATAAATATATATATATGTATTCACTAACTGTAAGTCACTCTGGATAAGAGCGTCTGCTAAATGACTAAAAAATGTAAAAAAAAAAAAAATTGAATATAGAATAGAAGATATTCTATTTAGGGGTTCAAGCAGCGAGGCTGGTGAAACCTTGTATTTCTTGGCGTTCATTATTATGTTCCTTCTGCCAATTTGGTGAAAAAAAAAAATAATTCCAGTGAGATGGTAAGGCCCAGGAGGGTGCAACTTCGCGTGATGGTAAAGGCCCATACACCACATCCTCTCATGCCATGCCAATTGGCCACATGGTGGCGCAATAACAAGCCATTAAAAATGCACATTTTGAAACGTCGTGCCCCTCACCCCATTGGACCTAGAGTCCTGAAATTTGGTACATAGGTCCCTCTCCTCACAAGAAACAAATTTGCCTCAAGAACCATGATGGATTTTCCGCCATTTAGAATTTTGTGAAAAACAACGCTACTCCTCTGGCACCGAATGAACAATCAGCACAAAACTTGATATATGACATCTCTGGACCAAGGTCTTGCAAAGCTATATCACAGATAGAACAATGAGCCAGATATTTCACCGGACGTATAAGTGTTAAGCATCCGGTTGGCGTTTTCACTCACTACCAAATATGATGATGAGAGGAAGCCCAGTGGCTGGCAATGGGAGAAAATGGAGCGAGATGGATTTTGGCTGACATTATGCTAATTTTCTCATCAATGAAATATTTTATCTCAATACAGTTTTCTGTTCCCACATTTAGGATCTGTTATGATAACAGTGGACTAAAAGTTTAGTAGATTTTACCCCAATGTTGTAAAAAATTATGTTGTTTAGGAGTGCAAGGGCCAATTCAGAGTAGGCGTTCCCAAACGGAAAAATGCAAATACATGCTCAAACACGCCAATAGGATTTCACTAGCTTGTGCTTGGCTCTGCCCCCCACCTTGCTTGTTCTTCCCACTATGACTCATCCCATTGGATCTTGGGTTAGTTATAAATATCTTTGGCTATATTTTCCAGACTAGTATGTCAAACAACTAACCAATAAACATTTAATGTGGCTGTGGTCTGGCACCTAAATGCATATAAATCAGACACGAATATTCGTATTGTAACAAAACTTGGTACACATGTTCCAAACAATGCCAAGACTCAACATTATGCAAGCACATTCAGATTGACCATAGGGTGGTGCTATAACTGGCACATATTTATATCTCTTGACCTGTTTGGCACACATGCTCAGGGATATGAGTCTAGCCCGAGAGGAAGAGGCGAAGCGAGAGGCCCAACTCGGCCAAAATCTGTCTTCTCCAGCAGGAGGCGTTCTTTCGTTTCATTCAATCAAGGAGTTTTTTTATGGAGGTCAAAGAGGAGAGCGTGTCGAATTTGTTCAACAAAATATTGAATGGCTTATTTGCTACGTGAGGTTTATTTGATCTAATAGAAGTTGTGTAATGCTTAGGTTGTTACGAGTACTGATATAAGTAGGACACAACATCCCGGCAAATGTGTAAAAAATTATAACTTTATATCGGAATTGTCTCGATGGCTATGCATATTCATAACATGAGGCTAGTAGCATAGCATTGCTCTCCATAGAATACAGGCGGTTGACGTCAACAACCCTAATCGAATATTCAAAAATGTATTAAAATAATTAGATGTCTCCATCAATCCAAAGTGAGGAATAGGCGGGAGCTTGACAGCCCTCCGTGCCGCTTTGTGGACAACGACTCCTATTGTTAGGGCGGAGAGACAAGTATCTTGTCAGTATAGCTGTAAACTATGGTTCAGTTTGGCCGCATGGTGGACAGGAAAAACCATTCACACAAGCTCATTGGCTCATAGCGGCCATATTGTTTGCGTTAGAGTCCTGGAAAATAGAAGACGGGTACATAGATGCTATATACCATATTTGGTGCCAATCGCACAGCAGTTCTGGAGAAGAAGACATTTGAAAGTAGTCAACATCATTGAAAATTGTCAAAAATACATCAAAAGCATATTGCATGATTTGTTTGAGGTTGAGTTCTGATATTTGTCAAGCGTGGTAAGGAGTACAAAAGTAGCTCATCCTAGGGTAATGTGTCCAATTTGTCCTGATGGTGGTGCTATGGGGCCAAAGCATGAACCCCAGGATTGCTTCTTGAAGCTAGCTATATTTGTTATTTTAGTTGTTCTACCAGTTATCAACATATTCAATGTTTTAAAAAATAAAGCCCAGTGGTTATTCTGTGACTTTAGCTAATACACTTTATTTTTTTTGCTGTGGTATCGAGTATTGTTTTGATATTGAGTTTCACTATCGATTATTGTGATACTAAACCTGGTAAACCCGGTATCGATGTCCAAATTCTGGTATCGTGACAACAACCCCTCTATTCTCTGCCCTCTGTGTCTGCCTGTATCACTATGACTGATCCATACCAAAGATGTGTGTGTGTGTGTGTATGTGTATGTGTATGTGTTTGTGTGTGTGTGTGTATATATATATATATATATATATATATATATATATATATATATATATATACAGTGGGGAAAAAAAGTATTTAGTCAGTCACCAATTGTGCAAGTTCTCCCACTTAAAAAGATGAGAGAGGCCTGTAATTTTCATCATAGGTACACGTCAACTATGACAGACAAAATGAGGAAAAAAAATCCAGAAAATCACATTGTAGAGTTTTTAATGAATTTATTTGCAAATTATGGTGGAAAATAAGTATTTGGTCAATAATAAAAGTTTCTCAATACTTTGTTATATACCCTTTGTTGGCAATGACACAGGTCAAACGTTTTCTGTAAGTCTTCACAAGGTTTTCACACACTGTTGCTGGTATTTTGGCCCATTCCTCCATGCAGATCTCCTCTAGAGCAGTGATGTTTTAGGGCTGTCGCTGGGCAACATGGACTTTCAACTCCCTCCAAAGATTTTCTATGGGGTTGAGATCTGGAGACTGGCTAGGCCACTCCAGGACCTTGAAATGCTTCGTACGAAGCCACTCCTTCGTTGCCCGGGCGGTGTGTTTGGGATCATTGTCATGCTGAAAGACCCAGCCACGTTTCATCTTCAATGCCCTTGCTGATGGAAGGAGGTTTTCACTCAAAATCTCACGATACATGGCCCCATTCATTCTTTCCTTTACACGGATCAGTTGTCCTGGTCCCTTTGCAGAAAAACAGCCCCACAGCATGATGTTTCCACCCCCATGCTTCACAGTAGGTATGGTGTTCTTTGGATGCAACTCAGCATTCTTTGTCCTCCAAACACGACGAGTTGAGTTTTTACCAAAAAGTTATATTTTGGTTTCATCTGACCATATGACATTCTCCCAATCCTCTTCTGGATCATCCAAATGCACTCTAGCAAACTTCAGACGGGCCTGGACATGTACTGGCTTAAGCAGGGGGACACGTCTTGCACTGCAGGATTTGAGTCCCTGGCGGCGTAGTGTGTTACTGATGGTAGGCTTTGTTACTTTGGTCCCAGCTCTCTGCAGGTCATTCACTAGGTCCCCCCGTGTGGTTCTGGGATTTTTGCTCACCGTTCTTGTGATCATTTTGACCCCACGGGGTGAGATCTTGCGTGGAGCCCCAGATCAAGGGAGATTATCAGTGGTCTTGTATGTCTTCCATTTCCTAATAATTTCTCCCACAGTTGATTTCTTCAAACCAAGCTGCTTACCTATTGCAGATTCAGTCTTCCCAGCCTGGTGCAGGTCTACAATTTTGTTTCTTGTGTCCTTTGACAGCTCTTTGGTCTTGGCCATAGTGGAGTTTGGAGTGTGACTGTTTGAGGTTGTGGACAGGTGTCTTTTATACTGATAACAAGTTCAAACAGGTGCCATTAATACAGGTAACGAGTGGAGGACAGAGGAGCCTCTTAAAGAAGAAGTTACAGGTCCGTGAGAGCCAGAAATCTTGCTTGTTTGTAGGTGACCAAATACTTATTTTCCACCATAATTTGCAAATAAATTCATTAAAAATCCTACAATGTGATTTTCTGGATTTTTTTTCTCTCAAATTGTCTGTCATAGTTGACGTGTACCTATGATGAAAATTACAGGCCTCTCTCATCTTTTTAAGTGGGAGAACTTGCACAATTGGTGGCTGACTAAATACTTTTTTTCCCCACTGTATATATATATTACACACAAACAGTTGAAGTCGGAAGTTTACATACACCTTAGCCAAATACATTTAAACACAGTTTTTCACAATTCCTGACATTTAATCCTAGTAGAAATTCCCTGTCTTAGGATCACCACTTTATTTTAAGAATGTGAAATGTCAGAATAATAGTAGAGAGAATGATTTATTTCAGCTTTTATTTATTTCATCACATTCCCAGTGGGTCAGAAGTTTACATACACTCAATTAGTATTTGGTAGCATTGCCTTTAAATTGTTTAACTTGGGTCAAACGTTTTGGGTAGCCTTCCACAAGCTTCCCACAATAAGTTGGGTGAATTTTGGCCCATTCCTCCTGACAGAGCTAGCGTAAATGAGTCAGGTTTGTAGGCCTCCTTGCTCGCACACGCTTTTTCAGTTCTGCCCACAAGGATTGAGGTCAGGGCTTTGTGACGGCCACTCCAATAACTTGACTTTGTTGTCCTTAAGCCATTTTGCCACAACTTTGGAAGTATGCTTGGGGTCATTGTCCATTTGGAAGACCCATTTGCGACCAAGCTTTAACTTCCTGACTGATGTCTTGAGATGTTGCTTCAATATATCCACATAATCTTCCTTCCTCATGACGCCATTTATTTTGTAAAGTGCACCAGTCCCTCCTGCAGCAAAGCACCCCCACAGCATGATGCTGCCACCCCCGTGCTTCATGGTTGGGATGGTGTTCTTCGGCTTGCAAGCAACCCCCTTTTTCCTCCAAACATAACGATGGTCATTATGGCCAAACAGTTCTATTTTTGTTTCATCAGACCAGAGGACATTTCTCCAAAAAGTACGATCTTTGTCCCCATGTGCAGTTGCAAACCGTAGTCTGGCTTTTTTATGGCGGTTTTGGAGCAGTGGCTTCTTCCTTGCTGAGCAGCCTTTCAGGTTATGTCGATATAGGACTCGTTTTACTGTGGATATAGATACTTTTGTACCTGTTTCCTCCAGCATCTTCAGAAAGTCCTTTGCTGTTGTTCTTGGATTCATTTGCACTTTTCGCACCAAAGTACGTTAATCTCTAGGAGACAGAACACGTCTCCTTCCTGAGTGGTACGATGGCTGCGTGGTCCCATTGTGTTTATACTTGCGTACCATTGTTTGTACAGATGAACGTGGTACCTTCAGGCGTTTGGAAATTGCTCCCAAGGATAAACCAGACTTGTGGAGGTCTACAATTTTTTTTCTGAAGTCTTGGCTGATTTCTTTTGATTTTCCCATGATGTCAAGCAAAGAGGCACTGAGTTTGAAGGTATGCCTTGAAATACATCAACAGGTACACCTGCAATTGACTCAAATGATGTCAATTAGCCTATCAGAAGCTTCTAAAGCCATGACATCATTTTCCGGAATTTTCCAAGCTGTTTAAAGGCACAGTCATCTTAGTGTATGTAAACTTCTGACCCACTGGAATTGTGATAAAGTGAATTATAAGTGAAATAATCTGTCTGTAAACAATTGTTGGAAAAATTACTTGTGTCATGCACAAAGTAGATGTCCTAACCGACTTGCCAAAACTGTAGTTTGTTAACAAGAAATTTGTGGAGTGGTTTAAAAACGAGTTTTAATGACTTCAACCTAAGTGTATGTAAACTTCTGACTTCACCTGTACACTACCAGTCAAAAGTTTGGACAAACCTACTCATTCAAGTGTTTTAATTTATTTTTACTATTTTTTGCATTTTAGAATAATAGTGAAGACATCAACTATGAAATAACACATATGGAATCATGTAGTAACCAAAAAAGTGTTAAACAAATCAAAATATATTTTATATTTGAGATTCTTCAAATAGCCACCCTTTGCCTAGATGACAGCTTTGCACACTCTTGGCATTCTCTCAACCAGCTTCATGAGGTAGTCACCTGGAATGCATTTCAATTAACAGGTGTGCCTTCTTAAAAGTTAATTTGTGGAATTTATTTCCTTAATGTGTTTGAGCCAATCAGTTGTGTTGTGACAAGGTTAGGGGGGTATACAGATGATAGCCCTATTTGGTAAAAGACCAAGTCCACATTATGGCAAGAACAGCTCAAATAAGCAAAGAGAAACAACAGTCCATCATTACTTTAAGACATGAAGGTCAGTCAATACGGAACATTTCAAGCACTTTGAACGTTTCTTTAAGTGCAGTCGCAAAAACCATCAAGCGTTATGATGAAACTGGCTCTCATGAGGACCGTCACAGGAATGGGAGACCCAGAGTTACCTCTGCTGCAGAGGATCAGTTCATTAGCGTTATCAGCGTCAGAAATTGCAGCCCAAATAAATGCTTCACGTTACAGACACATCTCAACATCAACGGTTCAGAGTAGATTGTGTGAATCAGGCCTTCATGGTCGAATTGCTGCAAAGAAACCACCACTAAAGGACACTAATAATAAGAAGAGACTTGCTTGGGCCAAGAAACACGAGCAATGCACATTAGACCGGTGGATATTTGTCCTTTTGTCTGGAGTCCAAATTGGAGATTTTTGGTTCCAACCGCCGTGGCTTTGTGAGACACGGTGTGGGTGAACGGATGATCTCCGCATGTGTATTTCCCACCGTAAAGCATGGAGGAGGAGGTGTTATGGTGTGGGGATGCTTTGCTGGTGGCACTGTCTGTGATCTATTTAGAATTCAAGGCACACTTAACCAGCGTGGCTACCACAGCAATCTGCAGCGATGCGCCTTCCCATCTGGTTTTTGCTTAGCGGGACTATAATTTGTTTTTCAACAGGACAATGACCCAACACACCTCCAGGTTGTGAAATGGCTATTTTACCAAGGAGAGTGATGGAGTGCTGCATCAGATGAATCCCCCGACCTCAACCAAATTGAGATGGTTTGGGATGAGTCGGACCATAGAGTGAAGGAAAAGCAGCCAACAAGTGCTCAGCATATGTGTGAACTCCTTCAAGACTGTTGGAAAAGCATTGGAGTGAATGCCAGGAGCCAGGAGTGTGCAAAGCAGTCATCAAGGCAAAGGGTGGATATTTGAACAATCTTTTTTTGGTTACTACATGATTCCATGTGTTATTTCATAGTTTTGATGTCTTCACTATTATTCTACAGTGTAGAAAATAGTACAAATAAAGAAAAACCCTTGAATGACTGTGTCCAAACATTTGATTGGTACTGTACATAAACTGTTCCATACATACTCGTGGAAATAAAATGGGGGTGGTTTCTAACTATTCCATCTATTGGGATTTCATCTACTTTTTCACATTTTAATTTTTTTTCATTTCTGAGGTGTATTACCATTTAGATTGAAATGGACAGTATGGGAATAATTATGGGATGGATTCAGACTAGTCTATATTCAAATGACTCGCAGCCAAGTCCCTCCCATTTTCTGCTTTAAATCTGCCTGTCTGTCTCCTGAGGAAGACTTCTACACTGGAGCCGGTCGCACACTAACTAACCCCTCTATCTGTCCCCATGTCTCTATCACCATATCTCTCCCCTCCTCCCTCTCTCGCTCTGTCATCTTTTTCTACCCCCCCCCCCCCCCCAGGTATTCTTCCTCCAGTTCCCTACTGCCCTACTATGCGGTGAGATCAGGAAGGCCTACGTGGAATTCTGTAACGTGAGTCGTATTCCCCTGTGCGGCCTGCGGGTGGCGTCCACGCACCCAGACTTCTTTACCTTTGGAAGCTCCTCCCTAGCCACACCCCTCACCCCCCTCAGCCCCACCTCCTTCGAGAACTGCTCTGCCTACAAGACCCTGGCCACACCCTCAGGAGCCACGCCTGGGTCAGTCACCGCGGTGACGCTGGTGTCGGCGGCCGACTTTGGGTCGGGAGGAGGAGGAGTGACCGGTCCGGGTACGGGGGGTAAAAGGGTAGTAGAGATCCCCCTAGGAGAGGGAACGCTAACGCCTGGAGAATCTACACAGCTGCCCCTGTGGCTGAGAGGACCAGACCAGGAAGGAGTCCACGAGATTAACTTCCTTTTCTACTTCGAGAGCGCCGAGAAAGGAGGAAAGATCAGGTGGGGAGAGCAGTCTGGTATTCTCAATACACACTACGCAAGCCAAGATCAGGTAGGGGAGAGTTATTCAAGAGAGAACTCAGTACACACTACACAAGCCACGTTACGTCAGCCATTGAAGTAGGGTAGAGAGAGAGAGCACCCTGTTATAATCAGGTAGGGGAGAGAGAGAGCACCCTGTTATAATCAGGTAGGGGAGAGAGAGAGCACCCTGTTATAATCAGGTAGGGGAGAGGGAGAAAGAGCACCCTGTTATAATCAGTTAGGAGAGAAGGAGAAAGAGCACCCTGTTATAATCAGGTAGGGGAGAGGGAGAAAGAGCACCCTGTTATAATCAGGTAGGGGAGAGGGAGAGAGCACCCTGTTATAATCAGGTAGGGGAGAGGGAGAGAGCACCCTGTTATAATCAGGTAGGGGAGAGAGAGAGCACCCTGTTATAATCAGGTAGGGGAGAGGGAGAGAGCACCCTGTTATAATCAGGTAGGGGAGAGAGAGAGCACCCTGTTATAATCAGGTAGGGGAGAGAGAGAGCACCCTGTTATAATCAGGTAGGGGAGAGTTATTCAAGAGAGAAGCCTTTTACTCATTACACATTAGGCCTACACCAGCCGTTCAGGTAGGGGAGAGAGCAACCTGCTAATCAGGTAGGAAAGATGAACGGGAGGGGGGCTATTATATTCAGGTAGAGCCGTGGGAAAGCTGCCTGATGCAAGATATGGGTGATGCAAGAAGCTATCTCATTACGATAAAGAAAAAGAAACAAAAAAGAGCTGATATAGTAAAAAAAAAAATCAAGTCCACACACAAGTCAAGATCAGGTAGGGAGGGAGGGAGAGAGAGAGAGAGAGAAGACTGGTATTCACTCACTACACATTACACAAGCCAAGTAGTGTAACATGAAAGAGATGAGGGGAGCGAGAGCAACCTTTTATTCAAGTAGGGGAGAGGCATAAGGAGAGTTGGAAGTTATTCACTAGTACACAAATAAAAGAGTGAAACATGAAAGACATTCCTCATGTCTCTTCTTCAATGGGAATACTATGATTTAATTAAAGATACTTTACGCCATCCTGACTTTTTCAGTGGTACTTTTAAGTCTGCTTGAAGATGTGGAATAAAAAATGGTGCCGGTACTTATCGTAGGTGTCGGCACCCCAAGTTGCATTTACACAGGCAGCCCAATTCTGATCTTTTGACAAATTATTGGCAAAAGAGCTGATCTGATTGGTCAAAAGACCAATTAGTGGAAAAATATCAGAATTGGGCTGCCTGTGTAAACGCATCCTTAGTTATCCTGAATGTACCCCTGAATGTTCGTCAGTCTCGCTTTAAATCACGGTGCTCACTGCTCAGCTAATTGAGATAGAATGAGGCCAAATCGGGGCACTTTTGAGACTGTATCTTCACGCTACTTTAGAAGTTAATTTATTTTTCCCTTCATAGGGACCTTTCAAATCTCACAATGTCCCTGATCATTTCTGTTTAAATGAAATGGTTTAATTTTAATTCAGGTACATTTTGGAGATGTGGTTTCTATAGTTTAAATTATATAGAGCCTGTGGCATTACTTTAAGCACCACATTTATAAAAGTTATAAATGCATGACAAGAACATATTTAAATTACTCAATCTCTCTTTTCTCATCTCTCGTTACCTTCATCTGTTTCTTTCTCTACCCTCCCATCTCCAACCTGCTATCTTCTCTCTCGCTGTCTCCTCTCCCTCCATCTCCAACCTGCTTCTATCTCCTCTCGCTGTCTCCTTTCCCTCTCTCCCACTCTCCCTCCATCTCCAACCTGCTTCTATCTCCTCTATCTCTCTCTCGCTGTCTCCTTTCCCTCTCTCCCCACTCTCCCTCCATCTCCCCCTCCCTCAGTCACAGGGTGCTGCGTCACACAGTATTTATCTGTGCCAGTCGTTCTCTGTCGGTCCGGGCCACAGCCTGCCGTAGTAACACACTGCCCGAGGAGGAGAGAGAGGAGGAGGGGAAGAATGGCAGCATGCTGGTCTTTGTCGACATGGAGAACATCAACACAGTGAGCTCAACACACACGTGCCAATGCGTTACTCATATGCCAATTAATCACTCTCAGTCAAGCTGACATTTGATGGAACATTGTTATTCATGGTCACATGCACTAAGGTTGTCAGGAAATATACACATAGGGGAGTCTGGGGGCACCAAAAATTGTAAAGGCCCTCCTCTTGGCTCCAGAGAAATGTTGCTGTTTTAAAGCTAGTTTCTTGCAATTCTACACATTTTGTCATGGGGCTGAGGAAAGAATTGCATTTAAAGCTAATTTTCTGCAATTGTACACATTTTGCCATGGCTTATGCCGCGTTCTTATCAAATCACATTTTATTTGTCACATGCGTTGAAGACCACAGGTGTAGACCTTGCTGTGAAATGCTTACTTACAAGCCTTTAACCAACAATGAAGTTTTAAGAAAGAGTTAAGTTTTCTTTATCTTTACTATGTTCTACCTTGTAGAATAATAGTGAAGACATCAAAACTATGAAATAACACATACAGTTGAAGTTTACATACACCTTAGCCAAATACATTTAAACTCAGTTTTTCACAATTCCTGACATTTAATCCTAGTAAAAATTCCCTTTCTTAGGTCAGTTAGGATCACCACTTTATTTTAAGAATGTGAAATGTCAGAATAATAGTAGAGTGATTTATTTCAGCTTTTCTTTCTTTCTTCACATTCCCAGTGGGTCAGAAGTTGATACACTCAAATAGTATTTGGTAGCATTGCCTTTAAATTGTTTAACTTGGGTCAAACGTTTCGGGTAGCCTTCCACAAGCTTCCCACAATAAGTTGGGTGAATTTTGGCCCATTCCTCATGACAGAGCTGGTGTAACTGAGTCAGGTTTGTAGGCCTCCTTGCTCGCACACGCTTCAGTTCTGCCAACAAATGTTCTATAGGATTGAGGTCAGGGCTTTCTGATGGCCACTCCAATACCTTGACTTTGTTGTCCTTAAGCCATTTTGCCACAACTTTGGAAGTATGCTTGGGGTCATTGTCTATTTGGAAGACCCATTTGCGACCAAGCTTTAACTTCCTGACTGATGTCTTGAGATGTTGCTTCAATATATCCACATAATTTTCCTTCCTCATGATGCCATCTATTTTGTGAAGTGCACCAGTCCCTCCTGCAGCAAAGCATCCCCACAGCATGATGCTGCCACCCCCGTGCTTCACGGTTGGGATGGTGTTCTTCGGCTTGCAAGCGTCCCCCTTTTTCCTCCAAACATAACGATGGTCATTATGGCCAAACAGTTCTATTTTTGTTTCATCAGACCAGAGTACATTTCTCCAAAAAGTACGATCTTTGTCCCCATGTGCAGTTGCAAACCGTAGTCAGGCTTTTTTATGGCGGTTTTGGAGAAGTGGCTTCTTCCTTGCTGAGCGGCCTTTCAGGTTATGTCGATATAGGACTTGTTTTACTGTGGATATAGATACTTTTGTACCTGTTTACTCCAGCATCTTCACAAGGTCCTTTGCTGCTGTTCTGGGATTGATTTGCACTTTTCGCACCAAAGTACGTTCATCTCTAGGAGACAGAACACGTCTCCTTCCTGAGCGGTATGACGGCTGCGTGGTCCCATGGTGTTTATACTTGCATACTATTGTTTGTACAGATGAACGTGGTACCTTCAGGCGTTTGGAAATCGCTCCCAAGGATGAACCAGACTTGTGGAGGTCTACAAATATTTTTCTGAGGTCTTGGCTGATTTCTTTTGATTTTCCCATGATGTCAAGCAAAAAGGCACTGATTTTGAAGGTAGGCCTTGAAATACATCCACAGGTACACCTCCAATTGACTCAAATGATGTCAATTAGCCTATCAGAAGCTTCTAAAGCCATGACATAATTTTCTGGAATTTTCCAAGCTGTTTAAAGGCACAGTGAACTTAGTGTATGTAAACTTCTGACCCACTGGAATTGTGGTACAGTGAATTATAAGTGAAATAATCTCTGTAAACAATTGTTGGAAAAATGACTTGTGTCATGCACAAAGTAGATGTCCTAACCGACTTGCCAAAACTATAGTTCGTTAACAAGAAATTTGTGGAGTTGTTTAAAAATGAGTTTTAATGACTCCAACCTAAGTGTATGTAAACTTCCGACTTCAGCTGTATGGAATCATGTAGTAAACAAAGTGTTAAACAAATCAAAATATATTTTATATTTGAGATTCTTCAAAGTAGCCACCCTTTGCCTTGATGACAGCTTTGCACACTCTTGGCATTCTGTCAACCAGCTTCATGAGGTAGTCACCTGGAATGCATTTCAATTAATAGGTGTGCCTTGTTAAAAGTTAATTTCTGGAATTTATTTCCTCCTTAATGTGTTTGAGCCAATCAGATTTGTTGGGGGGTGGTATACAGAAGATAGCCCTATTTGATAAAAGACCAAGTCCATATTATGGCAAGAACAGCTCAAATAAGCAAAGAGAAACGACAGTCCATCATTACTTTAAGACATGAAGGTCAGTCAATCCGGAAAATGGCCTTCAAGTGCAGTCGCAAAAACCATCAAGCGCTATGATGAAACTGGCTCCCATGAGGACAGCCACAGGAAAGGAAGACCCAGTGTTACCTCTGCTGCAGAGGATAAGTTCATTAGAGTTAACTGCACCTCAGCCCAAGTAAATGCTTCACAGAGTTGAAGTAACAGACACAACTCAACATCAACTGTTCAGAGGAGACTGCGTGACTCAGGCCTTCATGGTCGAATTGCTGCAAAGAAACCACTATTAAAGGACACCAATAAGAAGAAGAGACTTGCTTGGGCCAAGCAATAGACATTAGACCGGTGGAAATCTGTCCTTTGGTCTAATAAGTCCAAATTTGAGGTTTTTGGTTCCAACCACCATGTCTTTGTGAGACGCAGAGTAGGTGAACGGATGATCTCCGCATGTGTGGTTCCCACCGCGAAGCATGTAGGAGGAGGTGTGATGGTGTGGGGGTGCTTTACTGGTGACATTATAGGGGATTTATTTAGAATTCAAGGCACTTAACCAGCACGGCTACCACAGCATTCTGCAGCGATACGCCCTCCCATCTAGTTTGCGCTTAGTGGGACTATAATTTGTTTTTCAACAG